GTAAGGGATGCCGTCAGGCTGAAGAAGGAGTCCTATTGGGCCTTCTTAGCTCATGGGACTCCTGAGGCAGCTGACGGGTACCGGCGGGCCAAGCGTGCTGCAGCCCGTGCGGTCGCAGAGGCAAAAACTCGGAGCTGGGAGGAGTTCGGGGAGGCCATGGAGGAGGACTATCGGACGGCCTCAAAGAAATTCTGGCAAACCGTCCGGCGCCTCAGGAGGGGGAAGCAGTTCTTCACCAACACTGTTTACAGTGCGGGGGGAGAGCTGTTGACCTCAACTGGGGATGTTGTCAGGCGGTGGAAGGAATACTTTGAGGATCTCCTCAATCCCACCGTCACGTCTTCCGAGGAGGAAGCAGAGGCTGGAGACTCAGAGGTGGACTCATCCATCACCCTGGCCGAAGTCACTGAGGTGGTTGGCAAGCTCCTTGGTGGCAAGGCTCCGGGGGTGGACGAGATCCGTCCTGAGTATCTTAAGTCTCTGGATGTTGTGGGGCTGTCTTGGCTGACACGCCTCTTCAACATCGCGTGGCGGTCGGGGACAGTACCTCTGGACTGGTGGTCCCTCTGTATAAGAAGGGGGACCGGAGGGTGTGTTCCAATTACAGGGGAATCACACTCCTCAGCCTCCCTGGTAAGGTCTATGCCAGGGTACTGGAGAGGAGAATCCGGCCGATAGTCGAACCTCGGATTCAGGAGGAGCAGTGTGGTTTTCGTCCTGGCCGTGGAACACTGGACCAGCTCTACACTCTCCATCGGGTGCTCGAGGGTTCATGGGAGTTTGCCCAACCAGTCCACATGTGCTTTGTGGACTTGGAGAAGGCATTCGACCGTGTCCCTCGTGGTGTCCTGTGGGGGGTGCTCTGGGAGTATGGGGTCCGGGGCCCTTTGCTAAGGGCTGTCCAGTCCCTGTATGACCGGAGCAGGAGCTGTGTTCGCATTGCCGGCAGTAAGTCAGACCTGTTCCCAGTGCATGTTGGACTCCGCCAAGGGCTGCCCTTTGTCACCGGTTCTGTTCATTGTATTTATGGACAGAATTTCTAGGCACAGTCAGGGGTCGGAGGGGGTCCGGTTTGGGGACCACAGGATCTCATCTCTGCTGTTCGCAGATGATGTTGTCCTGATGGCTCCATCAAACCAGGACCTGCAATGTGCACTGGGGCGGTTTGCAGCCGAGTGTGAAGCGGCTGGGATGAAGATCAGCTCCTCCAAATCCGAGGCCATGCTCCTCGACCGGAAAAAGGTGGCTTGCCCTCTCCGGGTGGGTGGGAGTCCTTGCCTCAAGTGGAGGAGTTCAAGTATCTTGGGGTCTTGTTCACGAGTGAGGGGAGGATGGAGCGTGAGATTGACAGGCGGATCGGTGCAGCGTCGGCAGTGATGCGGTCGCTGTATCGGACCGTTGTGGTGAAGAGGGAGCTGAGCCGAAAGGCGAAGCTCTCGATTTACCGGTCAATCTACGTTCCTACCCTCACCTATGGTCATGAGCTCTGGGTAGTGACCGAAAGGACAAGATCGCGGATACAAGCGGTCGAAATGAGTTTCCTCCGCAGGGTGGCTGGGTGCTCCCTTAGAGATAGGGTGAGGAGCTCAGTCACACGGGAGGAGCTCGGAGTAGAGCCGCTGCTCCTCCACGATGAGAGGAGCCAGTTGAGGTGGCTCGGGCATCTGTTTCGGATGCCTCTTGGACGCCTCCCTCGGGAGATGTTCTGGGCATGTCCCACTGGGAGGAGGCCACGGGGAAGACCCAGGACACGCTGGAGGGACTATGTCTCTGGGCTGGCCGGGGAACGTCTCGGGATCCCCCTGGAAGAGCTGGAGGAAGTGTGTGTGGAGAGGGAAGTCTGGGAGGCCCTCCTCAGACTGTTGCCCCCGCGACCCGACCTTGGATAAGCGGAAGAAAATGGATGGATGGATGGATAGTTTAATATTGGAACTTTAATATGCAATCAGTGCTTTAATGCAATAAGTGATATTTTACTCCAATAACTGTATTCAGTAAAATGATTCAAGTATAAGTCGCTTGCACCTCTTTAGCCTCAGTCTAAACCTGCGGGAAACATAACGAGTTTCAGAGCCAGTAGCCTTGAATGGCTGTTATTTGAGAGATCCTTCGGTCTCTTATGCGTTTAATGAAGAGCGGAGAGAAGAGCACATGAAAGCGGAACAGTAAACTCAGATATGTGTCACATAATCTGCTTTGGTGCAGGAAGTGTCAGGATTAGCACCTGTGCCTGACTGCGCACGGTGGCAGGCTATCGCTAACATTAGCACGTGCCACTGCAGCTCCGTGCGGTGCTCCGTCGGATCCGTGTCACTCTGGAGGGAGGCGGGGTTCAAAGGTCAGATTTCAGTGTCAAGGATTAGCTTTCTGTCCCTGTCTGAACATGATCAAAACACAACAGAATGCGTATAGTTCAGACCTCCCACGTGGTTTGCTGTTGTCTCTATTTGAAATCCTGACTTTTTGTAAAATATTTGAATTAATCTCACATATTTTCGTTGTTTTTGAAGAATTTCTAGGATTTTTTATATTCAGAAGTTTAAGATATATATATATTTTTTTTCACTTTTGCTGTTTTATTATCATTTCCTAGTGAGATTTACCTTTTTAGAATTCTGAAGTTAATGTCATAAATTTGTAATTATAATAGTGCTGACATACATTTTATTTATACAGTCCTTAAAGATGGTACAATAAAATAAAGCTAGCAAGTAAAACAAAACAAATAAAACACATGCATTATTAATTAAGCAGTTTAAAAATATATAAATTTGTATTTTTAGGGATGAATTAAGAGATACATTAACAACTGATATTTCCTAAACCCGTATATTTGGTTATAGTATTTTCTCAGTATCTATACAATGATCTTATATTTTTGGTCTCCACAAAATTTCCAAACGTGGCAACATAAAACATTGTGCCCTCTTGTCTGCACCTGTCTGTACATAATGAAAACAGATTAGATGTAGTTTTCTTCTAAATGCTTATACTTCAGTTTAAGCTCTTTAGTTTTTGGAGTGTGGCTCCATTCACCTCTCTTAAAATAAATCCAAAACTAGAATTATTCCAGGGGGATTACAAAGTGACTTGCTGCCGTTAATCAGTGGTACTGTTAGCATGGATAATCCCTTAGATTATTTCAAAGCGAGTTACTACAAAGGCAGATTAATCCATGCTTGACTTCAGAGCAGCAAAAAGCAAGAATGGTGTGTGTGTGGTTAAAAATAAAGTCAGTGTCTGTCGTGGGAATTAGGGCCACAAATCTCAACTAAACAAGGTGATGACAAATGCATAGTAAAGTTAGTTACTGGTATATGTCAAACTGTCAGACCGTTTTGTAGATTGTGATTAATGGCAACCAGTGAAGGGTCCACCGCCTGTTTATCTCCATGCAGATGTTATGGCTTTGTCTAGAATGTTCCACAGTATAGATTAAGCCTGTCTATCTCAAGGGAGACAAGCAGGCGACAACACTACGCGACATTACACTTCAGATCTGTGGAGAGCCGTCCCTATTCACAGAAGGACTAATTGTATTTATGAGCAATAGAAACACATGTAATGAATAAATGCTAGATGGATATCTTTAATGCCATACCGTGGAACATTCCCGGCAAAGAAATAACATCAATAACAACATAAATGGAGACAAGTAGGTAGCAGCCCTTCCACCAGAAAAGTTGCACAGAGCACCTTTAAGAAGAGATTTCAAGATTTTGGTTTATCATTTTTTCAACCACAATAAATATAACAGCAAGAACCAAAAAATTTAAAAGGAAATAAGAACAATAAAACTTCAAATACATCTACACTTTCAAAAAAAAAAAAAAAAAAAAGGATTGAGTAATTAAATAATTTTACCATTTACCAATTTTGATCTATTATACAAGATTTCATAATTTTTTGCAAAAAAACCCCACAAAAATTCATTGACATCCCTACACTAATGATGTCCTTTATAATGTCCTGTCTCTTTGCAGTGAACACATGTATGCACTTTATGTAATTGTCAGCCTCCAGGGGGCATTTCACGGATGTTAAATTGCATGTTTCCTATATTTATCCTGTAAACTCCAGGAATGACTCAGTGGGATTTGAACAGTACAGCTGCTGTATGGTCTCAGATGCCAATGTTTTTAACCTGAAACATTTTCTTGTGCATGGCTGCATTATCTTTACACGTCACAAGGCTTCTGTATGTTTGCCTCCTCAGTAGAACCTATAGTCAAATCCATAATGTAAGTACTTTTTATATCCCATTAAGATTTGGAGTAGACTTATTATTTTTATATAACAATATCAAGTGGCTAAAAGATGTTCTTCCTATTTGTTGTATATATATTTTTCACTTTAATTTTAATTTGAGATGTTACTGCTTGGGCTAGAATATTCCACAGTAAATACATTATCTGCCTGTACTCAGTTACAGAGTTTAATTGCATTACGACTGTGAGCAGGATTGCCTCTTCACATATCTGAACTGCAAAGGGGCCTGGTGACCACCTGTCTCCACTAAGATAGACACAGCATGTTTTATGACATACTGTGGAACATTTTAGGCAAAATTATATTTCTATGGAGACAAGCAGGTGGCAGACACTCAACCAGATAATCAGTCTCAGTAATGAAATGTAAATCCTTTTTTATTTCAATGTTTAAATAACAGCAGACACAAAATTTTGACCTTTTCTTCTGTATAGATTTCTAGTTTCTTAGCCTTATTTCCATTTGGTTGCAATGTTCACTTCTCTACAATTTTCGCACATAAAACCTTTCAAGTCTGGACCACATCACCATGTCAACCCTATTTCCTGCCAACCATCTCCTCACCACTTTACCTGTCTGAATTGGCCCATTGTCAGGGCAGGGAGAGGAATAATTTGGGCTTATATAGCGTGGGCTTTATGGTGCATTTATGCTGAGCAGATGTGCCCGATTCAAATGCCCATACCTCCTCATCCTGCAGAGAAATGACCAGCGGTGCCCATTTTACTCACTTTCCAGCCGCGTAGACCTCTGCAGTGTCAAACAGATTGATGCCGTTTTCATAGGCCAGGGTCATCAGCTGCTCTGCCATCTGGTGAGAAGGAAGGGGCACATACACGTGGTTAAAAGATCACTAATGTATGAATGCGACAGGCTTTGATACAACATCCAAAATAGAGATTCTTATCAATATCGTCAGTGGAATATTGAATTAAGCTTAGACAAACGTATCACTGGGGTCAAATTGGCAAAGTATCAAAATTGTTATTGTGAAATGTGTGCATAACAGGGATATTCAGTATATTCTCTACAGCTAAACCTACAAAACATGCTGTAAAAAGAGCTGATAAAAAATAATTAAATAACAAAAAAAGATTTTTTCGATTCCGATAAGATCCTGGTAAGACACTGCTTATACGTTATCTCTCTGAATGGAAGAACTAACCATGCTTATACACCCTAGTTGTTTATAAGGAGTATCTGTCCATTGAACTATCCTAAGGTGTGAACTAAAGCTGCTCACTTAATTGAATTTTGATCATGATTTTGATTTGTGTGTCAAACTATCTCCAATCTCATATAATCGAGTTGAAACGATAAAGCTTAACAGTTTATTTTGGGATATTTTCTATATAAATAAGTATATTTATTTCATTTTTTTTTAAATATAGAGATTGTAGAACAGCTGGATATAAAGATTATTCTGGATACATTTAGGTTTTTCTATGCTTTATTTACAAGTAGATTTTATTCATTTTATGTTTTATACATCACAAAACTGCTCTAAAGTAAATATTTGTAGCCTATATTTATTTTCAATTTGAAAGTTTTGAGTAAATTATCATCAGCAAAGTGTTTTGTTTAGGGTTTTTTTTTTTGAAAGAGAGAAATGCTGAATGCATCACATAACAAAAAAAAAAAAAAAATGGCTTGAATAATCGAGATCTTAATATTGACCAAAATAATCGTGATTATGTTTTTTTTTTTCCATAATCGAGCAGTCCTAGTGTGAACTTTCACCTGGGTCATAGTAACTGAATAACTGCATAATCTTTCTAACAGGGGTATAATGTGATATTTTCCGCACATATATTTTTATTTTACAGTCATTTATATATACATTTATATATGGCATTTTTCCCATCATGTGTAGAACTACTCATAGCATCGCTTGCTTAACTACTCTACAGTATAATCTCTTTGCAGGCTGTACCATGTTGTGCAACTGCAAACCAGATATGTTGTGAGAGTTAAATTTCCTACACTTTTGACTGGTGTTAAAAAGACAACATCCATGTGTTCTCACCTCATCTGTTATCTGTCCGCCGAATGTGACCCATGTTCCTGTGGACGGAAAGGGAAGAGGCTCAAAATTGCTGAGATCTCTGATACTACACACTGTACACTGGAGCTGCACAGTTAAATATAACACTTTTCATACTTCATACGAGCATGGGTGAAGACGTATGTGTCTGTAAGAGCACTGACAGGCCACGTGAGAAGACATGTGTTCAGGGGACGATCCAGTTTGGCACCAGGTTCAAAACAAATTATCACTATTTAGAGAAAGTGTTCAGAGTCACGAGAGAAGTTTGATTACTTAATTGGGGGAAACAGTAGGTTAGATGTAGGTTAAATGTGTAGGTATAGTACAACATGGATTTTTTTCAGCCAATACCATTTTTGGTCAATAAGTCAAAATCAATATTATAATATCCATCAAGTCCCAAACTCATAGGTAAAGTTGGATTGTAGTAGGGCCATACTACTAATAGTGTTCCTATTATGACTATTGCTCAAATTGATTAGAAAAGTTGTGTAATTGGCTAATCTAGATGTTAACATTAACTCTTCATGCGTACGTGTGACCTATCCATATATGCAGAGTACTTTTACAAGAGTCTATTTTAGTCAGATACGTCAACTACTTTGATTTCATCTGTTCATTCTCTTCATTTAACACCTTCTCTCTAAGCAAATATAACATATAACATACCGAGATAAGATCAGAGGGCATCCATATAAAGTCTACTATTACAACTGTCAATTTAAAGGGCCCATATCATGCTACTTTTTGATCTATAATGTTGTTTCCTCATCAAAAACATAAATGGGGTTTTGTTTCTTTCAAACATTTACACACAAACCCTGCATATTTAGGCTGTGTTCTTCTGAAAGCACTCCTTATGATGTCATACGGTAATAAGATGTAATACATTGTAAAATCATTTGCGTAATTTCAGCCTTGAAATTACTGAACTAAAAGGTAAAAGGAAGCTGTTAACTTGAAATCTACCACTACATGACATCACAAGGTGGAACAGAGCCTTTTGAGCTTTGGAGATGTAGACAGATTAATAATAAAATGTTACTCAAAAATGTCTGAATGAAACAAAACACAACTCCAACTATGTTTTAAATGAGGCAACAACCTTCTAACATGACTTAAAGCTCAAAAGAGTCAATTTTGTGCTATATAGGACCTTTAGTGAACTCTGCAAAGTAAAAACATTAGCAGTATAAAGCAACAATCTTAGTAATGCATGAACATAATAGCTGTATTTCTAGAACTTAAACTTAAGTGCTTTGAATTACGTAAATAAAATCTCTTTCCATATGATGACAAAGCGGCAGCCCTGAGTGTGTCTCTTTACAGCTGAGGTCTGTGAGGTTATCACATCAGAAGTGTATTATGCAGTGACTCTTACCTAATCCCAGGCAGGACACCCTCAGGCCCGACTTTCCAAGGTTTCTGTCAAAAAAAGAGACTCATATTAATATTAATGCAGCGCTGAGATGGCAGTGATCTGTGGCATTTAACACTTCACTGGAGCATTAGCACAAGAGCTGCCCCCAGCTGATCAGATAGCCCTCTCACAGTGTACAGTTTAGCCCAAGTCATACAGTCAAACAGTCTAATACCAAATTTTAGTTTCAGTATCTTAGGAATATTAAGTATCAGCGTTAGTTTGGTGAGAGCAGCAATTATGTTTTCATGTTTAGGCTTGGACCTCATTTGATCCTGGTTGAGTCCTGATGTAGACTTGGTTTGGTCCTGATCTAGTCTGAGTTTATTCAAGTGTGTGAACATGTGCTACAATTTTGCTTCAAATGCATTAGACCAGATGGTGCCCAGTGATTCAAGGTTGCCAGTATGATTCCTGCTCTTATCAGGTCACATTATCTTTGTGTTATCTGGCAAGAAATGTAATTCTTCCTAAAATGTAGTAGTTTTGTAGCATCCAGTATAACTGAGCAGATTGTTCATTTGCTGCCTGTGAACTGCATAAAATATTCCTTTTGTATTCATGAGTGTTCCATTTGGACTGAACTACTGTAAAAAATTCGACGTTTGGTAAATTTGATGGAGGTCACGATCTGCCGCGTGCAATAGACTTTATTGCTTTGCCTAAAATGTTCCACAGAACGATATAAAACTTGGCTATATCGGTCTGTGGAGAAAGGAATGTTGCACCAAGGGACAGGTCAGATCTGTGGACAGGCAGTCCAGCAAGATAGAAGGCATGTTTTTCAAGGTATTTCTGAGCAATTTGACATCCCAGCCAAACTAGAATAAATGATAGATAAATACATGTAATGGCACACGGCAGAATATTCCAGGCTAAGATATGAGATCTCCATGGATACAAACAAATGCCAAACATTCCACCAGAAAAGTCACACAGCATATCTTTAAAGAGCCCATTTTCCCTATCAAAAACATACCTGGAGTTGTGTTTTGGTTCCTTCACACAACAAACAAACCCTACATATTTAGGCAGATTTTTTCTCTCAAACATAAAACACTCTGTTCTGTGATGCCATGTGGTAACACAGGAAGTGCTCAATTGTTATTTATTTATTTATTTTATTTATGAAACAGGGACAGTGCACAGTAGTCCCTGGTGCATGTTTTTTAGGTTTGACGGTGGAAACCAGAATGCCCGGAGGAAACCCACCCAGACATAGGTGGGTTTCCTCTGTCTTTTAAACTCAACACACCTTCACTAAAATCATTTGCATAAGTTCAGCCCTGGCATTTCCACTCTCTACTGAACTAAAGATGAAAGGTAGCTGTTAAATTGAAAACTACAGCTTCATGACATGACAAGGTGGAACAGAGCAATTTCAGCTTTGGACAGACTAATAATGCAGCATTAGTCAAACATGTCTGTGTGAATGAAACAAAACACAAGTCTAGGTATGTTGTTGATGAGGTAACATTTTAACATGGCTTAAATCTCACAAGAGTCAATTTTGCGTGTGAGTCAATTTGACCTTTAATCTCTTTGTAGTGAACTCATTCATTTGAATAAAAGCTTGCAGTTCAGATAAATGTGACACAAGCATGAATCTAAATACACACTAAATGGGGAAAAGTGTGTGAGTGTGCAGAGGCGTGTCAGTGCTTCTTAAAGTGTCCCATTTTGACACACAGAGCATCGGGATCCCACAGCCCAGACTGACTCAAATCCCTCAAAGCAAAGCGCACAGACAGGAGTTAAGCTCACGATGTGTTTATCGCAAAGCTAGAGTGTCTGAGGTTTTGCACTGACAACCACAACTTTAAGAGGAGGAGTGTTTTTGTCAAAGCATTTCATGTTTGAGTCATTTGCAGTCTGCATCAGCTACTGAGCAGGCAACACCTAAATCTTTCATACACAGAGGTAGTATAGTACCAAACAGAAGTAGCAAGGAGGTGGCCCTGTCTTGCAATGGTAAAGATGTACTTCTCAAATCTACAACTACACTCACAATAAACTGGGATACTGACAGAATTTAAAGGTCCTATATTACGCAAAATTCACTCTTGTGAGCTTTAAGTCATGTTATAATGTTACCTCCTCAAAAACATACCTGAAGTTGTGTTTTGTTTCATTCACACATGTTTGAGTAATCTTTTATTGTGTACATCTCCAAAGCTCAAAAGGCTCGTGATGTGATGCCATGTGGAGGTAGTTTTCATGTTAACAGCTACCTTTTACCTTTTGCTCAGTAGAGATTGGCAATTCCAGGGCTGCAATGACCCAAATGATTATAGTGAAGGTGTATGGAGTTTCAAACACAGTCAAGTACTTTCTGTATTACCACATCACAAGATGGAACACAGTGTTTTCTGTTTGAGAGAAAAACTCAGTCTAAATGTGCAGGGGTTATGTGTGAATGAAACAAAACACACCTATAGGTATGTTTGTGATGAGGAAATAACATTATAACAATATATAAATCAGAAAATAGCATGATATGGGCCATTTAAAACAATTATTCTGACAATCCATCAGAAACATGCTAAAAGATGCCTATAAATGTTGTGGTTGGTGATTGAAGTATTAAATGTGAACTCACAATTACAAATATTACTTTATACAAAATATAATCTATTTTATTTAGTTTGAAAGTAGTTTTAATTAGTCTTATGTGTCCCCATCTTGCCCTTTCTCACACATTTCTCCCATATTTCTGAACATATTCAACGTATCATGACTTGTTTTCCTAATGGGCAAACAAAATGTATTACCAACAATGATAAAAATAATTTTCACTACCACTGTAAAAAACTAAAAGCTAATGAGTCTACTGAAATAAAGTGTACCTCTTCTTGACCTACATATAGGACACAAGATAACAATGTAAAAAGATAAAAGCAACTTTAGCGCCAAAGATGATGTAACATGTGCAGGAGTGAGTGAGCGTGTGGGAGGAAATCCAACATATTTTTACAAGATGGTCGGTATAGAAACAGCAGTGGGTTAGGGTCAAAGCAGAGCACTGGACTTAAGAATAAGAGTGCGTATTGGGATTATGGGGGCTGTATGTTAAGACACAAGATATGAAACTATTGTAGTGAATAAGAAAAGTAAACTTCTGCCAGGGAAGAATGTTTCTTAATGAGAACAAATATAGTACAGTATTAGTATTGTATTGTAGAATAGAATACTAATACTCAATAGATGGTTGATAGTTTGAGTTCCACATTCTTCAATGCAAACTCTGATTGCGTCCTTGGGCAAAACAAACCAAATTTGACAACAGAATTAGTGGTACTGGTGTATGATTGTATTGGAGAATCCAATGTTATGGCTGCCACAACTCAATTAGTCTTTCCAGTTATGGTTATCCATGGGTTTCAGGATGATGAGAAATTAGGACTGTGGTTAAAGTGATAAAAAATTTAAAGGTTTTGAAAATATTGCATGTACCCTATTTTCCGGACTATTGAGCACACCTGAATGTAAGCCGCATTGACTAAATTTAAATAAAATTTTAAAATTGTACATATATATATTATCAAGCTTGGGCCATCTGCTTTTATCGCCTTTGAAAGCTTTTGTCGTTTTCTTGCATTGAGTCAGTTTGTCATGTTTCCAAAATCTCACCATCGACTCATTGATGAGCTCATGTGCAGCAGCTCCGTTTCCTTCTTCAACAGCCACATCAATTGCCATTAACTTAAAAGCTGCATCATCTACATTTCTTCGTGTGTTTTCCATGAGGAGTGTGTGTATGAAACGCAAAATAACTGTTCAAAACACAATCAAACGAGCATCTTCCTTGGCGCATCACCCCCGTCTCTCCCCGAGCTCTACTGCGCATGACTCCTGCAGAAAGAGCCTGTCTGTCTGTATCATGTCAGTGTCTTGTAAGATTTCAGCAGATTTCAGGCTCTCTGGGGGGGCGGGGCTAGTTCTGTCAATTAGGTATGAGTGGATGTCCAGCTACTGAAGTTTGAGAAGTGTCTTTTCGTCATTTACGTATACGGGTAAGACATATCCCCCTCACTAATGTTAATTTAGCATCATAACTTATTTTATTACACGACGATAAACTATTTGAGTGTGCTGACAATATTCATGTTAACCATAGATCCATGTGTTACCCGCACAGACAGCGGCGTTTTCTGCACTCAGACTGCACGCATCCGTTCTGTTATCAAACCATAGGCCATATATTTTAATGGACAATGTGTCAAACAAAGAATCTGTTCATATATTAATCACACTTTTTTATTAGCCACAGGATTCAAAGTGTGAGAAAAAAGTGCGGCTTATAGTCCAGAATTTACGGTAACCATTTTAAAAAAATTTTTTAATACTATGACTTTCCAATTATATTAAAACTGTTTAATTTCCAAAAGCATTCCAATTTACAAAAACAGCCAGACGAATAATCCTATGCACTTTAATCCTGGCAGACTGTATTTTCCTATTATTCTTCCACAAATAGCAGCTCATTATAAAGATTTGCATTGGTCAGTGAGGTCTGTAATGTGGTCTTCTGCAGGAGTGCGGTGAGTCAGGTCTAATCCAGAGACGACCAGGACGTCCCCACAAGGTCGACATGGGCCCTTGAGCAAACCACTAGAGCCCTGTACAATTAACTGCTTCTTATAATTGCATCAGTAAATACCCCTCTGGGCTTAAGCTACAGCAAACACAAATGCCCAAAGGGTCCGTAATGATTTGAGTGTTTTCAATGAAAAACAATGAAAGTTTAATTATGGCTGAGTGTTGTAGAAGGCCAATTTATCATGAATAAATGCAATAACATGTACATTTCAATTATAGTGTTTATTGGAATAATGTGGGAGTTTAGATTTGTATGGCTATAACCAAAATCAATTACCGGTACTCTGTTCTGACAATGGTACTCTAATACTGCAAGATGAATTTTGTACACAATCTATTCCAAAATACAAATTGTTACTGTAATATCTAAAATGAAAAACTGCACAAGAACTTGGACCACAGGAAG